TGTATAGCTAGACAGCTTTTCTTTGTGAGACAAGGAATGCCAGCCTTCTCCCTGCAAAAAATATATGAGAATTCTGGCTGAAGTCACTTTTAGTGTCTCAGAATTCACTGCCACATCCCTGCTGATGCCCTAGTAATGATCACTTCTTCTTTTTCCCCTTGTGCTCTAAGACAGTGTGATGAGGTCTAAACAACAATGTCTCTAGCACAAGAAATAAATAGTGATACCAGGAAAATAGTAAGTGCCCTAAAAATAAATGTTATCTGCATAATCCTGAAAATTATTAAAGATATTTCATTCACCTGTATATGCAAGGTAATGTAAGGAGGTTTCATAGAGATATGCCATCTAAAACTAGGTTTCAAAGAGGTTTCAAGATGGTAGCCTTTTGCAAGTAACTCTATGAAACTGACAGCAATGAAAAAAGGAAAAAAATGCAATCTCTATCTTCAACAGATAGCCAAACACCAAAACAAAGTGAAAATGGAAAAGTACATAGGCAAGAAATTAGTGACTCTGAATAAAAAAGAGGAATTATCATGTAATACTTGGCTTATATAGTAAAAAATAAAGAAATATTAAATGTAGACTTTTATCAACAACTGTAATATGAAACTGTATTAGATGCAGAAAGGTGCGAGGGGAAAGATATATTACTTAAATATCTTAATAAGACTGCAACAAATAATCTCTAATATGTGCATGTCAAAGTAGACGGCCTATATACTACTACTTAAAAATTAAAGGATACAGATGACAATGATTAAATAGTGAAAGAAGTAACTTAGGGAGATTACTTCTGTAGAGTTTTTTTGTATATTTTGACTTTTAAAAACACATGTATGTTATCTAACAGAAACAGATGTTAAATCATTTCAAGAAAAAGAACAAATTGGGGGGAAAACCCCACTGAAAAAGGTAAGAGAAAGCAAATCAATATTAAATACCTCAACAAGAAAATCTGTAAACATATGCTTTTATACTATTGTTATACGTAAACATATCTACAATCTCAACATACAAAGTACAATTAGCTGACTACTGTACCCTTCTTTCTTTTGCCAATATAATGAGCAACTAGTATTTATAAGCAAAAATTAAAAGACAAAGGCACAACCAAATGTGAATTTAACTAGTAAGTCTTTGTAGAGCAATGTTTCAGTCTTAAAATTAATGTATTAATTAATAAACTATAATTTTACGTTAAACAACTAAAGAATTTTTTTAAAGTGTGGCAGCAGAAAAGTATATTAAGTTTAAAATATGCATGATATTTAGCTGTTTAGTTATTGTTTTAACAAAACAGATCAGTAAGCTTTTACTGTGTAACTATTTAAAATTGAGAACATAATTAATCACATACTGCCTCTTAACAGTTTCACTTAAGAATTGGTTGTCTGTGACAAACCAAGCGTATTTAAAGACCACAGTTTATGTTTCCATTTAATTTTTTATCTTTAGCAGGTGTTATACCTTTGGGAGACATCTTTTATATGGCTGACTTTAGCTGTGACATTGATGGAGAAGATGCTGACTGTACTTACTCACTGACTAAGGAACTTGCCCAAATCTATCAAAGTGAGGATGAGGAGACCAGACTTCACCTTTTATCTCAGTCAGAGCCAGAGCTTGCACTTACACCTCACTGCTAGCTCTTTCAAACACTGAATACTGTGTTAGCTCTCATTAAGTAACACTTTCAATTGCTTCATTTCATTGTTTGAATGTGTTGGTGCATCCATAACCAATATATTAGCTGTAAAGTCATTTTGATACAGACATAATGCTATAAATGGAAATATCTTGTATTTCTTTATTCTAGACACTATATTTACATACAACATTTTCAATTAAACTTTAGTTTATTCTACAAAGTAATAAATGAGGGTTATGTAACCACAATAGAATATTAATTTACCAAGAAGAACAGAGAAGGTAAAGCTTTTGTTATTCTTAATATGTTAATTAAGTAAATATTTCTTTCCAGTTCTGACATCTCATGATGGTCACTATTGCTGATATTTTTAAGCACAAATGGCAATTTTTAAACATTAGTAATGGAAAAGCTACTATTTGTCAACTTTCAGTAGTGTAGATCTGGTTATTTGATGTTTCAATGCTATAGATCTGGTTATATGATGTTTCACTCAACTTTTTTTTTGTACTAATAAAACTTCACTTTCAGGAACCAAAATAACTAAACAAATAATGACATACTCTCCAAAGAGAATAAAAGAAAATTAGAATTGAAAAAGTATTTCTTTTCTTTCTGAACAAGATTATTGAATACTGGAATAACATTTTAAGGAGTTAATAGCAAAATCCATTCTATGATTATCTTTGAAAATGTCTTCATGAAGGTAGGCTCATGGATCAGATACTTTATCAAGGCTGTTGCAGATCTCTGAATTGTCTAGTCTAAAGGAAATACATGTAGTGTTCTACTACGTAGAACACATTTTTGTAGGGTTAAATTTAACATATTTTCAAGTTTACTTAAAACTAACAAGAGATGATTCTCAATGTCAGACTTGCCACTAGAGGGAGTTTATTTTGTTTAATAAACTCAATTTGCCAGGAAGAGTTCAAGATTAAAATTATGTCACTCATCTTATTACACAGTTGCATGGAACAGTATATTTAGGTGGGTGAATTTTCAACAGTCTTGCAACTGTGCTACAATATATTTTCTCTGTGAGTAAAATAAAACTGCCATCACTTAAGAGATCAAAGTCAAAAAGATTTGGATAACATTTTTAGTTTAATCAAGACAATTTATTTTTCCCCCCTGTAAGAATGTTGGCATATTTTAAGTCTTATCATCCACAAACGAAATTTAACTAAACTACTTATATTAATACTATGTATAATGATTTCATTTGTAAAATCAACATTTACACTAATGAATCATTTTTTTTTAATGTAGGCAAAAGCATGTTGTGAGTAATTTTATCAAGTAAGTAGCAACACTAGTTCTTTTCTTAGACAATACTGGGTGTTACTTTAAGGCATTTACACAATCAGACACAGTGCATGGTGCTCAATAAAGACCTGATTAACACCTAAACTACCTAATAAAATGCCAGTAACTGAGGAAAAAGTCTTACTTAGTGACACTGCAATACAGGAACCAATTAAATAATGAATAGTAAATTGAAATCTTAAGAAATGTACAAAATATTAAGATACTAAAATAAAAGGCATATTTTACATAAATAAAAGGGAACCTAATACACTAAGGGAGAAGATCACTGGTAAAACATTACTGTATTTTTTTCACACACACTATCCACTTTGTGAAGCATTACCTACTCCAGGAATTATATCTGTAAATGAACTAAGTTTTTAAATGGCAACAAAAATGTTAATAGAAACAAAAAATGCCAAATTTTATAATTAAAATAAACTAAGGGTTTTTTTTTTTAAAGCCACCTAGTTCCCTTTATAACATGCTGACTGAAGCTATCTTAAATGCACCAGTGCGATTGGTAACTTTTCAGATCACAAAATAAAAACACAAATTGTATTATCTATTATGTTAAATGTCCTACTGGATGAGTAGCTATAGAGGCATCATGAGGGTCTCCAACACAGATACATTTTTATTATTTACACAAGAAACCATTCTACAAAATACCAGTTATTGGAAACTAATGCTGCAGAACTGCTATGACAAAAAATTGCTGACAAGGCTATATTCTTAACCTTAGACACACTATAGGTAAGGCTTTCAAATGTGAATGAGTCTATTTTATGAGGCCAAATATGCTCCATGAGTGTCAATTTTTAAGGCTAGATTTGAGGAACTTTGGCCAATAAAAATCTAAATGGAAATTAAGCTCTAGAATAATGATTCTTTCCCACAAATTACTTTTACGTATAAAACTGAAAATGTTATTTATTTATATTCATTCACCTTACTTATTTAAGTCATGTTTTAAGCAAATTTGCTTGAGGAGATGTTTAAAAGGAATGTTTAAGAAAATGTGAAAGGTTTAGGTAATTTAACTCTGATAATTATGAATAAACGCTGCAAGACAGATAAATGGAAGCCTTTCTCAAGTACAAATATTTTTTAGGTGGAGAACATTGTTTGCCGTCTTATACAAACATCCAACCAAAACAAAACAAAAATCAAATCGGAGTTCACCCTATTATAAGGGACAGCACACTGAAGTTGAGAAGAAAGGAAATCAGAGGAAGATGCTAAGAATGAAAACATCTCCCTCAAGGAATCCAAACGCAGGTCTTTTCTACATCCTCAAATGACCCCCAAAAGGACAAAGTTTTCCCCAAAGGAGACAGAGAATACAAATCGCCCACCATGCCCACCGTACTCTCACACCTGCTCCCATCCCTTTATCCCTTTACACCACTGACACCAGACACGCTGGACACTAACAATTCCTGGCAATTTACAAAAGCACAGCAGAAAACCAGTTGTTCTGGATTAAAAAAAAAAAAAAAAAAAAAAAATGCCTTCAGAGGCACTGGGTCCCTTTCTTCCTGACTGCACGTGGTTGGCTTTTCACATCATTCTGCCCTACCGAGCTCCCAGTGAGTCTCCTCTAAGACCAAGTATGATGACAGTCCCCTAACCGAACAAAGGTGGATATTAAAAGTATAAGGGGATTTCAGGGCAAGCTAAGGTTAGCTAATCCACCAGCGCCAGGGGCCAGAACAAAACTGTCAACAAATGAGGACCAAAAAGAGAGCTGGCTGCTTAAGGGGATGGGTGTGAGTGGGGGACGTGAGAGCCGGTGACAATGGTTGCGGTGGACAGGTTTTTAAAATGGAATCATGAAAACGGAAAACAAATGTAAACTCTTGATCTCTCGAACCTTGGATCCAGGGGCTGTGTCAGGAACGGACCTAATCCCCCGGAACGCGGGCCCTAGGGGCGGGGTGCGGCGGGCACGCGCACGACCCGCACCCGCAGGACCCGCACCCGCGCAGCCTGGTGCCCAGCCCCCGCCGCAGACGCCGCTAGGGACACTCACGTTTTCTGCACGGGTTTCCGCCGCTTCCGACTGGCGTAGGTGATGTTGGCGCTGCCACTGTTCATGGTGCCCGGTATGCTGCGGCCCTGTCCGGTCCCTGGCGCCCCGCAGTGGCCGGAGCGGGCGGCCGGGTCCCGAGAAGCCGCGCCTGCTCCACCTGCGTCCTCCCCGCGCGGTGCTGAGGGCGCCGCGCAACCTCGGGTCCCGACTCCCGAAGTCCCGACCGATCTGGGTACCTCACGGCTGGGGACGCCGGTGTTTGGCGCCGGGGCAGAGGGGCGGAGACCCGAGAGCTGGCCGACGCAGGTGCCGTCTACACAGGCGGAGGCGGCGCGGCGCTGCCCGCAGGTGAGGCGGCCGGGCAGAGGAGGAGTCTCAGGCGTCTGTTCGGGACCCCGGCCTGGGTGGCGCGTGGTGGTACAGCGCCCCGTGACCAACACCCCTTGAGGGAGGGAGGAGACGCAGCGCTGCTCCCGGGGCTTCCCCGCTCCTGGGTGCTTCCCGCCCGCGGAGTTCTTGCGCTGGACCACCGGTACAGGGAGCCCCTGTTTCCACTCGGCTCCGCCTGCCCCAGTTCTGGGCCTGCGTTCCAGGGCACACACTGGAGAGCGAGCTTCCAGCGGACTCCGTAAGCGCTGCCTCCCGCCGCGGCGCGCGCCCGCAGAATAGCAGAAGCGCCCGAGACCCCAGACGGGCCCAGCTCGGCACAGCCCGGAGTAGCCCCGCCCCACCACGCTTGGCCACGCCCCTCACTCCAGCTCCCTTTAAGGCTCCACCCTCCTCCCGGCACGTGATGACGTGTTACGTAAGGATGCCCTTCAGTAGCCATCTTCGTAAGGTCAAAGCTCTTGCCTGTGGTCACATTTCCACCACACAAAGAAGTGTCTCAACAGATGATGTCAAGTTCAACACTATGTAGCTGAATGGGCTTAAGAGTTGTGAGGTGCCTTCGAGTTTATTCTGGTTCATAAGGACCTGTACATTATAGAATGAAACACTACCTGCCATTGCGCCATCCTCACAATCCTGTTAGAAGACATTTTTGCAGCCCTGTGTCAATCATGTTGATTGAGAATCTTCTTTTTCATTAACTCATTACTTCACCAGACATGACATCCTACTCCAGGGCTTGTTTCTTCCTAATAGCATGTTCAGACTGTTTATGATGAGGTATTGTCATCCTCATTTCTAAGAAGCATTCTTGCTTTATTTTTACCAAGAGAGATTTGTTTATTCTTCTTATCTCAAAATTGTCGTGCCAAATAGTCAGTTTCTTATATGACAGGAGAGTGATTCACCTATTTGGACTAAGAACGGGAAGACTGTAATAAGCCACATTTAAGGTGAGACTTGAAGGCTAAGAGATTTTTTTACCTATTTAATTATTTTAAAATGTGTCCTTTGTACTAGGCAGTTTAATGCCTTTTCCGCAGTCCTGATAACTTTGTTATCATTAAGTCAAATTCAGTAAGATTAGTGGGAAGAAAGAGACTAGAAAGAAGGGAAGCACTGGGGCAGAAGATATTTGAGAATATGTATCTGGTATGGTTGGAAGGAGCTCAAGAAGCTCAGTCTGTTAATGTAAAGGTGGGTGGTTCAAACCTACCCAGCAACTCTGCAGAACGGCCTGGTGAACTGCTAACCAAAAAAACACAACTAAAAAACACCCCCAAAATTGTATGAAGCAGTTCCACTCTGTAATGCATGGGTTTGCCAGGAGTCAGAACTGACATATAGACAATGGGCTTATATGGTTGGAGCTTTGGAGAGAGGCACTAAATGGGAAGTTCAGGACCTTTGGAGTCAAATCATAAAAGCTTGATTGAGTTTTATCAAAGACTAGATTCAGGGAGAATTGTTAGTGAGTTGTTAAAATAATCCAGGTAAAAAGTCCAGGAATATATATCTATGGTGATGTTGTTATTGTTGTAGTCGTTAGATGCTTTCCAGTCAAGTATGACTTTTAGCGACTGTATGAAAAACAAATCTAAACCTTGTCCTATTGTCTGTCATCTTCCTCATCACTAATACACTTGAGCCATTGCTAGAATAACAATGTCAGTCCATCTGATTGGATTCTTCCTCTCTGTTGCTGACCCTTCACTTTGCAAGCATGATAACCGTTTACATGGAATGGCCTTTCCTAGCAACATGTCCAAAGTATGAGAGGCAAAACTTTGCCATCCTTGCCTCCAAGGAGCACTCTGGCTGCACCTTTTCCAAGCCATGTCTGTTTGTTTCTTTGACAGCCCATGAGATATTTGGTACTCTTTTCTAACACCGCAACTTAAAGGCATCAATTTATCTTCTGTCATCCTTATTCTTTGCCCAGCTCTCAGATGCATAGCAAGTGATTGAAAAGACCATGGCCTAAATCAGGCAGACCGTGGTTGTCAAACATTGCTCTTCAATATGTTGGAGAGGTCCCTGACAGTGGCCTTGCCCAAAGCAATGTGTCTGCTTATTTCTCCACTACTGTTACCAACGTTGTTAATTATGGAATGACATAAAATGAAATCATTGACAGTGTCAATCATTTCTCCATCTATCATGATGTTGCCTATTGTACCAGTGGTAAAGACCTTTGGTTTTTGATGTTGAAATAGAATCCATATTGAAAGCTGTAGTCTTTGATCTTCTACAGCAAGTGCTTTGGGTCCTGATAACTTTCAACAAGCAAGGTTGTGGCATCTACATAATATAAGTTGTTGGTGAGTCTTTCTCCAATCCTTATGTCACATTCTTCATAGAGTTCAGATTCATGAATTGTTTGCTTAGCATACAGACTGAATAGGTATGGAGAAAGGATACAACCCTGACACAAACCCTTCCTCAAGTGTTCCTTTGTTCCATTCAGACAACAGTATCTAGGTAGAGATTTCGTATGAGTATTCTGGAATTTCCATTCTTCTCAATGTTAGCCATAGTTTGTTGTGATTCACATAGTCATAGTCAATAAGAGACAGACAGACATTCTTCTGGTATCCTGTGCTTTCAGCCAGGATCTATTTGACATTAGCAGTGATATCCCTGATGCCAAGACCTATTCTATGCCCAGCTTGAACTTCTAGCAAGTCCCTGTCAATATACTGTTCTGACCTTTTTCTTTTTTTTTTAGATCTTCAACTGTATTTTGCTTGCATGTGATATTAGTGATATTGTTTGAGTATTTCCACATCCTATGTATCATTTTTCTTGGAAATAGTGGGGAAAATATTGAAGATGATAGATATGGTTAAGGCAAAAGAGGGTGAAAGAGAACAACCTAGGGTCGCCTAAGATTTCTGACATTATAGCCTAGATGCTTTGAACTAAGACAGTAAACAAAGGAGCTGTTGGCTTAGCAAAAACAAAAGGGCACCCAGACTGTAATTTAGATACGGTCTCACATCACATCCATTTCAAAATACTTTTAAGCCATTTCCAAAGGCCAAGATTACACTTCAAATTTGGTACAGTGAAAAACTGGACTGATGATTTTCTTTAACTGAAACCTCATCCTGTTGTGGCCTGACCAGTTTCCAGATCAGTTCTTCAGATCAACATAGAGATTATCGTTACATTTCTTGCCCCTTTTGTCTAAAATTTCCAATATATACTACTGAATTTTAGTTTTTTCAATAATCTCTCTATAAACTTAAGTGCAACATCAATTGCAATTAGTTAAGTGATTATTCACTTTTTGTCAGTTTGATACCAGCTCACAGCTGACCTTCCCTTTGGGTTTCTGGGGCTTTAAATAAAAAAAAGAAGTGACTGCCCACCTTACCTCTGTAGAACCAGTGGTGGATTAGAACCATCTGAGACAGCACTTTGGGTTAGCGGTATACTCATGCCAGTTACACCACTGGAGGGCCATTCATTAATTTTTCCAGCAGGTATTTTGGGGGTACTTGCTATGTCCTAAGGGAGCTCTGGGGCCTAGTGGATAGGGAGTGGTGCTGCCAACTCAAAGACAAGAGGTTCAAATCAACCAGCTGCTCCAAGGGAGAAACATGAGCTATCTCCTGTGTGATTTATTGTTGTTAGTTGCCATCAAGTCAAGTACGACCCCTATCGGTGAACAACAGTTCTGAACCCTGTCCTATCCTGTGCCATCCTCACACTTTCTAACACACTAGAATCCCTTGTGGCAGCCACTGTGTTGGTCCTCCTAGTTGAGAGTTTTCCTCTCTTTTGCCAACCTTCTGCATTGCAAGCATGCTGTCCCTCTCAAATAATAGCCTTTCCTAGCAATATGCCCAAGGTACGTGAGGCCAAGATTTATCATCTTTGCCTACAATTAACACTCTGGCTGTACTTTCTCCAAGACATATTTGTTTGCTGTTTTGGCCATCCATGGAATGTCCAGTACTCTTCTACAACACCGCAACTCAAAGGCTTCTGTCATTTTTATTCATTGTCCAGTTTGCACATGCATAGCAAGTGATCAGAATCCATGGCCTGAATCAGAGGTATCTTGGTCCTCAAAGTGGCATCACTGCCTTTCAATAATTTGGAGAAGTTTTGTCTGTAGACTTTCCCAGTGCAATATATCTTCTGATTTCCTGACTGCTAGTACCGTATCTGCTAATCCAGGAGGTGTTCAGAGGCTGTGTGATTTATGAGCTCTGAAAACCCCCTGAAGTAGCAAAGATGAGTCACTTCTCACTTGACAAACAGTAAGTGAGTGAGGATGAGCTATGTGCTAGTACTAGGAAGAAAATAAGTGACTAAAACAAAACAAAAATTACTGTTTTCTCAGGTAATTAGAATGTATCTGTTGCCATAAACACATAAAAACAAGGCTGTTCCTTGGAAAGGGACATCATGCTTGAAAAGTTGGAGGGGCAGCTAAAGAGAGGATGACTCTCAGTGAGGTGAATTGATTAAGTGCTGCAGTGGGGTCCAGTGTGTCTGAAATGATAAGGCTGCTGCAGGATAAACTTAACTTGGCCGTACTTAACGACAACGTCACCTATCCATATGTCTTTCTGGTGGCATATGTTGCTGCATGTTACAATGCAAACTACAAGGTCAGCAGTTCAAATCCACCAGGCTCCTCGTGGAAAAAAGAGAAGCAATCTTCTCATATAAAGATTTATAGTTCCAGAAACTTGAAGAAAGGTCACTAAATGTTTGATTCACCTCAGCAGGAGTGGATTTGATATTTTGAGACATCTAATAAGGAATGCCATATAGGCCATAAAATATACAGGCTTGTGACTATAGAGTGTTAGGTTGGAGAAGTAAATTTAGAAGTCATCTGCATATTTGTGACAATTAAAAATGTGGAGGAGTCCTATCTGGTGACTAGATACTAGAAAATAATTATTTAGATTGATTGAAAAAAATATCAACCCAAAATCTCAAACCCTATAGTATCAAATGATTGGATAGAAGAGGATGGTACTGCAAAATAGGTGGAAAAAGGGTCGTTGGAGTGATGAGAGGAGGATTTCAGGGTGCTCTTCCTGAGTCAGACTCTGAAGTGAGTGAGAACTCCTACATAGAGAAAACGTACATTTTTTGTGAAGCACTGTTAGGACTGAAGGGAAGGATGGTTGATAAGGTGTCAGACTCAAACTCATTGTTCTTCAGTCATAACCTACTTGTGGCTGCCCCTCTGCTGGATTTTCAGAGGCTGTAAATCTCAAGGAGACTGTGCTGGTGGGTTCAAGCTGCCAGAGAGGCACCACCTTAGAGTCAGCAAGCACAGCTCCCTACAGATCCCAGCAATGGATTGCCGACAGGAAAAAGAAAATCATGTGTGATAGGAAGGCTATCCTATCATGAATTAGAAAAGATTAATAATGTTTTGTAGTTGATGACTTTTGTTTTATTTTTATATTATAGGACAGTAGATGAAAGTGATCTGGGAAGAGGAAACAGGCAAGTAGACATCAATCCTCTATCCTGGATGAGACACCATTTGGGAGA